ATACTCTCGGCTTCCATGGCTCTGAAGCCTTTGGACTTGTATTGAGAAATGCCACGAGCATCCTACAAACTTAACCCAGGATACTCAGAGTGTGATGACTCTAGTAAATATACCTCTATGGTAACTATAAAGAAAATAACTAAAGAATATACACAAAAGGGAATGAAAAGGAAAATTAAACATTTTATTATAAAAATCAACTCAATATAAAGGATGACAGTAATGCAAGAAATGGGATAATAAAGCTATAAGGTATATAAAAAACAGCAAAAAGGACAAAAAGGAGTCTCTCCTATCAGAAATTAATTTATATATAAATTGATTAAGCTCTCTGGGTTAGCCAGCTTTTCATAGTGTCCAATTAATTACCTGAGAAAAACAAGTTAGAGGAGGAAAATGTGTTTTGATTCATGGTTTCAGTCCATGGTCAGCTGGCACATTTGCCTTATGCTGGTGGCAAGGCAGAAACATCATGGCAGAAGCACATGGCAGAAGAAAGCTGCTCACCTCATGGCAGCCCAGCCAGGAAGCAGGGAGAAAGGATAAGAGCTAGACAGGAAGGGGCCAGGGAACAAACATAGTCATCAAATTCATGGCCCATGACTCACTTCAACCAGGCTCTTCCTCCTGAGTTTCTAATACTGCCTAGTAATGCCATCAAATTATGATCTCTTCAATGGATTACTGCACTGATGAAATTAAAGCCCTTGTGATTCAAAACCCCCACCTCTGAACACAAGGCCTTTGGGGGCCATTTTAAATCTAAATCATAACTCATTTAATCAAAAGACAGTGGCTGGTAGGATTTTTAAAATGCACAATCCAAATACTGTACATGGTATCTTTGAGAGACTCATTTTAGATCTAAGGATACAAATAAGTTTAAAATGAAAAGATAAAAAAGGTACTTTATGTAAAACAAAAAACATATTCAATTGTGAAGACCAAAAAGTCTTCTAAGATCAGAAATAAAGCGAGGATGTCCACCTTAACTACTTCTATTCAATGTAATTCTGAAATTTGTAGCCAGAATTTGGAAATAAATTTGTGGTCAGAAAAAGAAATAAAAGGCATCCAAATAATGGAAAGTTAAAATTACGTCTGCTAGTAAGTAATATATCGTATATGGAAAATCCTAACACCTCCCCCAATATAAAACATTATTGCTAATAAATTCAACAAAATAGTAGGATAAAAAGTCACTGCACAAAAATTAGCTGCATTTCTGTACTGAAAATCACAAATCTAAAATGGAAATTGTAATAGCAAAAATAAAAGTCTTAGAAATTTTTGTAACCAATTAGGTAAAAAATTGTAAAATGAAAACTACAATATATTTCTGAAAGAAATTAAAGACGTAAAAAAACTGAAAGACATCTCATGCTCATGAATTGGACTTAATGTCAATTCTACCCAAAGCAATCTACAGATTTAATGTCATTCCTATAAAATGAGTGACTTCTGGAGACATTAGAAACCCACAATAAAATTCACATGGACTGTCAAGGGACCCTTAATAGTCAAAGCAGTCCTGAGAAAAAGAACAAGCTGGAGGACTCACACTTTCAGACTTCAAAATTTATTACCAAATTATAGCAATCAAACAGTGTGGCTCTAGTATAAAGGCAGACATACAGATCACTGGAACGAAGTGGCAATTTTTAAATTAAACCCTCAAATATTTGGTCAAATGATTTTCAACAAAAGTGCCAAGACCATTTGTGGAAAAGATACTATACATCCCATTTGTTGAAGGGCAGTATTTTCAACAAATGGTGCTGGGAAAACTGGATGTTCACATGCAAAAGAATGAGGCTGGACTTCTACCTAACACTATGTATAAAAAATAACTCAGAATGGGTCCATAACTTAAAATGTAAGACCTAAAACTATAAAAATCTTAGAGTTGGCAATGATTTCTTGGATATGATACCAAAAGTAGAGGCAATTAAAGAAAAAAAAGTAGATAAAGCTGACTGCATAAAAGATATTTGAACATTGTGTGTCAAAAGATACGTGTGGGCTCGGGATTTAGCTCAGGGGCACTGAGCCTGCTTTGCAAATGCAAGGTCCTGAGTTCCATCCCCGGTACCAAAAAAAAAAAAAAAGATATTGTGCATCAGAAGATACTGTCAAGAGTGTAAAAAGGATTGGAAGAAAATATTGTGTATCTGACAGGGAATATCCAGAATGTATACAGAACTCCCAACACTCAATGACAATTACAAAACAATCTCTTTCAAAAATGGAAATTGAACTGTAAGGAAATATCATCTCACACTCACTGAGGGGGTAAACTATCAAAGCATAAGAAAACAAAAAACAAGTGTCAGTAAGGATGTAGAAAAACTGGATCCCTTGTATGCTATGTGGGAATGAAATGGTACAGCCCATGGGGAAAATAATATGGCAGTTCCTCAAAGTATCAAAAATAGAATTATCATATGATGTACCAATTCTAAGTATAAACTAAAAAGAATTGAAAGTAGAGTCTTAAAGAGACATTTGTATACTTATATTCATAGCTGCATTACAACAGCTAAACCACAGAAGCAACCAAGTATCCATCAATGGATGAATGGATAAGAAACATGCCGTATGTTCAGATATAATGGAATATTATACAGCCTCAAGAAACAAGAAAATTTTGATATGTTACAACACAAAAGAGCCTTGAGGACATTAAACTGAGTTAAATGAGCCAGTTATAAAAAACAAATACTGTAGGATTCTAATTATATGAAGTACTAAAGAGTAATCAAAATCAGAAAGAGAAACTAGAATAATGGTTGGCAGGGGCTAAGGGGAAAAGGAAATAAAGAGCTATTGTTTGATGAATACAAAGTTTTAATCTTATAAAAAGAAAAGTTCTACAGATGGATGGTGACTATACAAAATGAGTAACGTACTTAGCACTCCTGAACTATACACTTAAAAGTGGTTAGGAGAGTAAAATTTTTATATGAATTTTGTCACAATCAAAATCTGTAAAACAATTTCCTAGAAGTAGCTAACCTATTTTTTAAAAAAATAGAGAAACTATTCATATAAAAAATTAAGAATGAGGAAGAAAATAGAATTATAGTAACATGAAATTAAAAGAATTAGGGAATGACTAAAAAATTCCTATGGAAATAATTTTAAAAATATGGTTAATTTCACAAAATGCAAATGATTAAAAGTCCTCAGAGGAAGAGCAAGAGGAGGTTGTGGGGAGAAAAAGTACTCAAAAAAAAAAAAAAAAAGCAAACTTAGGAGTCAACTTTACTAGTGAGCTCTTTGAGAGTTTGAGGGGACATGTAAAGCTAATGTTTAAGAATTTTTCCAGGGCACCAAAGCCAGTGGGAATTGGCAGTCTGACCCAGGCCAAATCTGTGTGGGACTGTTAAGAGACAGGATGATAAATCCCTGCAGGCTTAAATTTATTACCAGCAGTATCAGCAGGTTTCAGTTATCTTGGCAGACACATGATGGTACTTGAAGCAACTAAAACAGCAAGTGAGGACAGAAGGGATGTTAAGAGGTCTACCACAAATCAATCTGACCAAAACAGCACTTGTTTATTAAATTCATATTTGAATTTAAAACTTACTGGTTTTATAGCTGTATGTTTTACTTTGTAAATTTGTCTTAGTTTTTCATACAAGAAGTTTATATTTCATATTATGTTTGTGTGCATTTAAATTACAGTACAGCAGTGAGACAGGCCTGGTAGTACATGCCTGCCAGTAATCCCAGCATTTGGGAGGCCAGGGCCAGCCTGGGTTACACAACAATACGGAGTCTCAACCAAACCAAACCAAACCAAACCAAACCAAACAAGCAAACAGCAAACAACCCCCCCCCCCAAGTAAAGTAGAATAAAGGTCCATGTTGAGATTTGTGAGAAATTTTTGTTGAAGAGGAAATGTGTATTATTTAATTTTAGAAACCCTGCTCTAGGTTTTAGAATGGGAAAGCACTCTCCTTTGATTGAATTTGTTTTCTGCTTCTTCTCCCCATTGGAATATCAGAGTTCATGAATAAAATCAGGACATAGTCCAACGTCTATACCAGTGAAGGAATCTTGTCTAAAACATCCTGATGATAGACTCTAAAAACCTCTGTGAAAATTTACTACTACTCTCTACTCTTCAGGAAGACCTTTCTACTCTTGAAAGTATATTTATTAGAAAAAAAGTTTTGTAATGAAAAATAACAATAATCCTATGACTATCAATGTAGTTTACTTCTCCAGAATAGAAAAGATGTCTTCTTTCTCCACATGACAATTATTCTTCTCCCCAGGTCATAGGATCTCTTGATTCTAAGAGCTCTCAGCATATGGTTTCTAGACCTAGCACTTTCAAATTACTCTCCTTCTTAAAACAATGACGCTATAAAGTACTCCAGGATATCCACTTCAGAACTTCACATTTTAGTTCCAGCTTTCTTTCTTTCCCTTTCTCTCATTAAATGGTGAGTTAATGTAAGTAAACCTTACTTTGGGCAACAAATGTTTTCCAAAAAGGAAACTGGAAAAAAAAGTAATCGTAAATAAGAAAAATCAATCTCCATACACTACTGAAATCTACAATTTAAATGCATTCTCTAGGCAATACTTCTGTAGGAGTATTTTTGTAATTTCATCTGTTCTGCAAGATAAAAATGTTTTTGTATGCCAATTTTCCTAAAGTGAGGTCTTCTTATACTTTATATTCCTGACCTTTAAAATGAATTGCTATAATAGATAAAATCTGTTTCATATAAATGGTAAGAACACCTACAGTAAGACAAACAGTTTGCTGTACTTAGATGTTAAGACTGACTTGCTAGGTGTGTTGGTGTAGGCCTATGATCCCAGCAGTCAGGAAGGTGGAGGATCATAAATTTGAGCCCAGCCCAGGAAACTTAGCAAGACCTTGTCTCAAAATTAAAAAACAAAAAAGGCTGAGGATGAGGGCTCAATCCCCAATAGCAAAAATAATAACGTAAATAAATAAATAAACCGACTCAAAGAGAAAATTTTAAGTTTTTTTTTTTGCCTCATTCCACTTTTTGAAATTAAAAGTACTCCACATCTCACCTCACATGACAGATACGTTTAATAATTATTTTAATTACAAATTTCTACCAATACTTGAGTCACAGTATTCTATATACCACAGGTGAATTATATAACATTATATATTCTATTTTATATATCACAGGTGGATTACATAACATTATTACCTGCATGAGAATTACAGGAAAAAAGATAACATATATGTAGGCTGCATGAAACCTTGTAATTGACACAGCATAGGACTTTGTAAACATATAGGCTTGTCAGCTAAAGCCTGCTCTTCTATCACTATCTGGCTGCCTGTGTTTTCTCATTTTAAATGATCTGTCACCTGACTGTGCTACTTAACAGTCATTGGTTGCATTCAAAAATACCTTAAAAAATACATGGACTTATAAGTGTTAACTATTAATGTAAAGTGACTTATTGACTACTGGCCTTTGTACTATTACAGTAATACTATTCATATAAAAGTCAGCATTTATTTGCAAAAGGATCCTTTTAAAAGTAACTCTTAAGCATTAGTTTCACTAACAATCTCGTATGACTGTGACACCAGTGCTCTGACTTTGGGAACAGTATATAATTCAGATATATTACTGTCACCAGCTTTAACTAATAACTAATCAAATAAAGTGCCTTGTTATTATTTTTCCAAAATATAATAATCCAGTATTTTGTGATACACAAACTAAAGAGGAAAAAAACCCATACCAGCTAAAGTGATTTAAAATACAAGTGGTAACTATGGTCATTTTCATCTACATGAAGTTTATTTGTATATAAGACATCAAAAGATAACAACTAAACATAAAATTTCCCATGAATTTTGAAATTTTGTTTCTGAAAAATTCCTTCCTCCACAAAACATTTAACATAGACTATATTACCCTAAATCTATGGCATACGCAGACATTTTGGTCCTTCAGTCAAAATTTTTGGAGTTTTATTGTCCTGTAATTGCAAAATGACAATCTCTAGGACCTTAACATTTGATGAACAATCTAGATAATATTCATAATGATAAAAAGGGAAGATTGTGGCATGAAGCCTAGAACCACATAATTATGAATAGCTTGCAAATGAATCTCTATTTATATAATTATAAGGCCTAACTAACATGATTACTGCAAGTCTTTTGGAACCAATGAGGACAAGGACAATAATCTGCAAATTATCTTGTTGACTTCTCAAGTACTGAGCTATTAATAATCTCTATGTTATCTCTGTGTCAATTCCTTAGAAATTTGTCACCCTTTGTGTACTCTAAACCTTGAATGGAACCATTTAGGGAGTGGTCAGATATATGTAGAGTATTATGCTTTAGAAGAAACATCCTTGGTTTACCAATGTGAAAGGATAAATATTAGAAATGTTTTACAGTATTATGCTTTAAAACATCCTTGGTTTATCAAAGTGAAAAGATAAATATTACAAATGTTGGTTTATGAGAGCTGCCAACTATTTTGGCACCAGTTTAAAAAGTGTCTTCATCTGACTCATCACTCTTGGGTTTGGTAAGTCTTTCCAGTTCCTCTCCATCCTAAAAGAAAACATATGAAATAAGTAATTAATTTAAAAATTAGAAAAGCCACATTTTAACTGTTAACTAAGGGGCAGGCTTATGAAATGCATGTATTCATTAAATCATGGGTTTCATTTCATTAAATTGTAAGTGTAATCTAGCCAAATTAAATAAATACTTGGTAGGCTAATTTTAGAAGTATAATAAGATGATTAAAAAATGAAACAATCCAGGCTTTATTCAAAGCTAACATGAGCAAAGTAAACAACACCATCTGCTGGTCTTGAAGGGAAATGATTACAGGCTGGAGAAATGAACTTAAACCAGGCTTGTGTACATAATTTGACTTTATTTTACTTAAAAATTGGAGCAATTTTCAGCCCATCAGAAAAGAATAGAGGAATTCTGGATATACACTATGGCTAAATCACCAGGTTTCACCAAAGAGTGAAATAGGTTCATTGTGTGAAATTATTCATATTTTGTGTACTCATAAAAATTGTAACTCTAATGCCAACTAGAAAATCTCATTCTACTTTTCATTTAAATGTATTTAACTTCTTAAGTGAATCTCCAAGAGATATTTTATTTTACTTTTGAGTTTAGTTTAGTAGTACTGGGGACTGAATTCAGGGCCTTCAAGGCACTGAGCTATATCCCCAGGCCTTTTTTTTTTTTTGGTACTGGGGATCGAACTCAGAACCTTGCGCTTGCTTGTGAGGCAGGTGCTGGAACCACTGAGCTAAAACCTCGGCCCTGCAGGCCTTTTTTTTTTTTAAGAGAGGGTCCTGCCAAGTTGCCCAGACCAGGCTTAAATTTTAATCTTCCTATCTCAGCTTTCCAAAGTGCTGTGGTACAGGCATTCAACCCCACACTCAGCTCAGCTACCAAGACATTTTTTAATTTATTTATGACATGATTGAAAGATGCTTCTTAAACAACTATAAGCAACTGACATATGTTCAGATTAACTGCATAAAGCTTTATTCTAGAAAATATTTTTCTCCTACTTGCAAAGATCCTTTTGAAAACTACCTTCTTACTGAAGTAAACTCTGCCCTTCTGCCATCTTGTGGTTCATAAATAACTATGGGGAGACGGACCACTCCCAACACAGACAAAGGGGCCTCCTGGCCGCTGTTCCACAGCTCCCAGCGCAGAGGAAGGGAATTCTGGGCCACCCTTCCACTGCTCCCAGCCCAGAGGAAGGGGCCTCCAGGCCGCCTCTCCACCGCTCTGCTCCCGGCCCAGAAGAGGTGAGCCACGCGGGGGCGCCAACAGCAACCACCCCACCCCTCCCCCGTCAAAATGAGAAAACATGGAAATAAGTCTCGAAACCAGACTTCCACATCACCTATAGCAACCCGAAAGGGAAATGAGATGGAACAATCTGATGCTGAGCCACCTGGACTCCCTGAACTGGCAATAACAGAGGATCTGGAAAAAATGAAATCAGAAATAATTTCACAGATAAAATCAGAGACTGTGCTCATAGTGCAAAAAAATGATTGATAAATCTAGAGAAGAGCTGAGGAACATGATGGAATCCCAAGATAGGAAACAAATGGAATCCATAAAACAGATGCAAACAGATTTCCAGGAGATAAAAAACTCCATGGAAAGTCTACACAGAAGAATGAGCCAATGTGAGGACAGAATTTCAGATATAGAAGATAAGATTGCAATTAGT